AAGATTGCGCCACTGCACTGCAGCCTGGGCAATTGAGCAAGACTCTGTCTCAAAAAAAAAAAAAGAAAAAGAAAAGAAAAAGAAAGAAAGAAAGAAATAAACAAAATCAATCATGGCATTAACTCCAAAAAGCAAGGGATTGATCTGTGATCAATATGAACAATGAAGACAAGCAGGCAAGTACCAATGAGGATGATTTTTCTGCCAACTCTTTCATGCACATTGTACCACAACCAAAGAGAACCACGGAGTGGAGCATCCCTGCACTCCTGAGAGGAGAGACGGAGGGGTGTTTCTCCACTGAAGAAATACATCTCCAAGGCTTTTTTCTCCTTCACAATTGGCTTCATTAGCGTTTCAAAAAAGACTCTTTGCTCATGCGTTTTACCTTTCTGATATTTGTTCTTCATCTTCAGGTAATTTATCAAAAGGAGTAGAGTGATCCAGATTAACTGTATGGATGAAATGCAATTAAAAAGTGATATTAACGGGTTTTTCTTACCCCCTCGAAAATATTTTTCTTTGTGATGTATGAGTCACCCAGCATTTTTCAGGGATGGTGCAAGTGAGTACAAGTGACAGTGCAGTGTGACAGGGCACTGGCCACGGTGCCAGCAGTGTGGGGGTCACGTCCTGGCTCTGTTGTGTGACCTTGGACAAGTCACGTACTCTCTGGGTGTCCTCATATGTAAATCGGGAGGTGTCATACCCAGGAGACAGCTGCTTTGCGTCACAGAACTGCTATGAGAAATAGCACAAAGCAAGATGATATTTGGGAAAGTTCTTCGGAAATAACAGAGTTACCCACAGGCCAGGTGGTTTTATTCCATGCTGCCCTGTTTCTACTTGCTCAGGCAGCAAGATTCAATCACCTGGAGTGCCGGGGGAAGAGGCTTTTGTTTATTTTGTTTTTCTGCTATTTTCAGAGGTTTAATTCAAAGTCCTTACTGATGGAACTCCTCTTATAAATTTTTCTGTGCTCTACCTGGCTTTTTGCTGACCTTATCACCATATCAAGCCAAAAAATCTTTCTTTTGTGTAAAGGCGGTGTTTGTTAGCTTTCTTCTGAATAAAGTTACTATTTTTCCCCTTATAATTTAAAGTAGGCCTGGCGCAGTGGCTCACGCCTGTAATCTCATTACTTTGGGAGGCTGAGACAGGAGGATTCACTTGAGCCCAGGAAGTCGAGGCTGCTGTCAGCCATATTTTCACCACTACATTCCAGGCTCAGCAACAGAGAGAGAAAAAAATTAAAAAGTAAGTTGTGGAGAGACACTCTGAGACTGCGTAAGTATCTTCCTCCTGCCAAGCCTTCAATCTCCAGGTTTAGCATTTGGTATCAATGCATTTCTTCATTCTTTCCATATTTATCAGTCAGTACACTGCCATAAGGGAGTTTTCCTCTCCCTAATCAATTTATCATTTGTTTATCATTTATTCATTGACATCAATACGAATTCATGGATTCTTGTTCTATGCAATGGGTTACAATCCACCACGACCTTTGTTTGATTTTTACATTATCCCCACGTTGGCCAGTAGGGGGCCCCAGCCAGCTTCCATATTCTCCCATCACAGCCCTTGCTCTGTTTTCCTGGCTTTCCAGCACAAGTCCTTTGCTCTACTCACAATAGCAAAAATATGGAATCGACCTAAGTGTCTAGCAACAGAGAATTGGACAAAGAAAATGTGACATATATATCATTATACTATACATACAATATTAAATATTATTGTATATGTAATTTTATATAAAATATATAACTATTGTATACATAATACACTATATTAATACAATATCGTATATATAATAATATAACATACAATATAATATAAATATTATATATAATATATATTACATTATATGTTATATAATATATAAATATATTAATATAATAATCAAGGCTCACTGCAACCTCCACCTCCCCAGATTCAAGCAATCCTCCTGCCTCAGCTTCCTGAGCAGCTGGGATTACAGGCGTGAGCCACCACACCTGGCTAATTTTTGCATTTTTGGTAGAGATGGGGTTTTGTCATGTTGACCAGGCTGGTCTTGAATTCCTGAGCCCAAGCAATCCACCCATCTTGGCCTCCTAAAATGCTGGGACTACAGGTGTGAGCCACCCCAGCTCAGCCTAAGATTATTTTTCATTCTTGCAAGTACAGGTTTCTTACAAGCGTACATTGCATAGTGATGAAGCCGTGGCTTTCCGTGTACCTATCACCTGAACAGTGAACACTGCACCCAGCAGGTAATTTTTCAGCCCTCACCTCTCCCACTCTCCCACATTTTGGAGTCTCCAATTCTGTGTGTCCATGTGTGCCCACTGTGAGCCTTGATTGTATGTTATATAATATATTAATATATTATATAACAGAAAATTGTATGTATAACAATATATTATTTATATAATGAATATATTAAATATATGTACATAATATATTATATATTACATAATTATATATAATATATACACGCACAGATCACGAAATACTACTCAGCCATAAAAAAGAATGAAATCATGTCTTTTGCAGCAACATGGATGGAACTAGAGGCCATTATCCTCTGTGAGATCACTCAGAAACAGAAAGTCAAATAAGGAATGCTTTCACGTATAAGTGGGAGCTAAACAGTGGGCACACATGGACACACAGAATTGGAGACTCCAAAATGTGGGAGAGTGGGAGAGGTGAGGGCTGAAAAATTACCTGCTGGGTGCAGTGTTCACTGTTCAGGTGATAGGTACACGGAAAGCCACGGCTTCATCACTATGCAATGTACGCTTGTAAGAAACCTGTACTTGCAAGAATGAAAAATAATCTTAGGCTGAGCTGGGGTGGCTCACACCTGTAGTCCCAGCATTTTAGGAGGCCGAGATGGGTGGATTGCTTGGGCTCAGGGATTCAAGACCAGCCTGGTCAACATGACAAAACCCCGTCTCTACCAAAAATGCAAAAATTAGCCAGGTGTGGTGGCTCACGCCTGTAATCCCAGCTGCTCAGGAAGCTGAGGCAGGAGGATTGCTTGAATCTGGGGAGGTGGAGGTTGCAGTGAGCCTTGATCACACCACTGCACTCCAGCCTGGGTGACAGAGTGAGACCACATCTCAAAAAAAAAAAATTAAAAATAAAATATATCAATTTTTAAAGTCTTCAAGCCGGGCACACTCCTGTAGTTCTAGCTACTTGGGAGGCTGAGGCAGGAGGATCACTTGAGCCTAGGAGTTGGAGGCTGCAGTAAGCCAAGACCCTGTCTCTATTTAATTAAAAAAAAAAGTCTTCAGACATTACTAATTGCCCTCTGCCCATTGAGAATCACAGATCTGAAGCACTGGACCAGTTCTTGCTGTACTGCTGAGTGTGACATTCTGCCTGGGTCTTTCCGATGGCCAATGAAACACACTTGGTTCAGCCCCACCAGTGAGTCCTTCAGGCAACATTCAAATCCCAGTACTCCAGCTGTTAAGACCAATACCCAGATGTGCCTGAGGAGATAAGATCATCTCAGTAGGAGTCTTTGCACATAGCCCCCAAATGCTTATAAACTGTTAAGTCTGTCCACTCACATCACTGGCCACAAAAGCAAGTGTGAATTACAGACTCCATTGGAAGCCATCATCTCTGGCCTCCTCTGTGACTTCCATTGCCCAAGACCCTGGACACCTCGCTCCAGACCACAGCTGCCTGACTGTCGCTGCGCTTTTCATTTGGGTCACTCTCCAGATGGTCCTTCTAGCTTCTTGGACTGTAACATTCTCATGTCTAAGCCCCACTCTGGCTGCGGTGCCTCCTTTGACTCCAGGGAGAGACGCCATGCTCCTGTCCCAGCCAGCCACAGCTCCCCGAAAAGCAGGAGTCTGTGGGATTCAGACGGAGTTTCAGAAACCAGCAAGAGCGCACTGGTGCCCCAGCGGTTCCATTTCTGACACCAGTGAGCAAATCCAGAGGCGCCTTTGGAGCTTCCCACTGGGCTTCAGAAAGGCCACCAGGGCTAGGAACAGCTCCAAGAGGAAGAATGGAGGGGAAATGAGAAGAATGCTTGTATTGTTTGTGTTTTAAAAAGTTAGGGTGAGCAGCAACCCATGCTAACAGGCCTTCGTCAAGCAAGCAGTAGCAGCCAACAGACAGTGAAACTAAAAGGGAAACTTGCAGAGCTTCCATGGAAAGTCCGTGGATGAGAACAGCCCACATGAATATGATGTAAACTGTCTCCCAGGCCCTGTTTCATTTTTCCTTGGGTGTCAGTGGGAAGCCACACATTTGCAGAATCAATTGTCTCTGCTCCCCAAAGGAAATAAGATTCAAAGCATGATAAGAAATAAAATAATTAAATAAACAAATAAGGAAAAACAATTCACAGGTTCCAAGGATTAGAAGGACAAAAAGTAAATAATGGCCGGACGTGGTGGCTCACGCCTGTAATCTCAGCACTTTGGGAGGCTGAGGCGGGTGGGTCGCCTGAGGCCAGGAGTTTGAGACTAGCCTGGTGAACATGGTAAAACCCCATCTCTACTAATAATACACAAAAGCAGAGCGTGGTGGTTCGCGTCTGTAATCTCAGCTACTCAGGAGGCTGGGACATGAGAATTGCTTGAACCCTGGAGGTGGAAGTTGCAGTGAGCCAAGACTGTACCACGGCACTCCAGCCTGGGTGACAGAGTGAAACTGTGTCTCAGAAAAAGAAAAAAAGGAGAAAAACAAAAAGTAAATAAGAAAAATAAATAAAAATAATAATAAAAGAAAGAGATTAGCAGCGTGGAAGCAGATGCCACAGAGAGGAGGGGGCAGCGGCCCCCACATGGGTGTAGGAGCAGTGCCAAGGTTGGAGTTGGCAGGAGAAAGGTGGAATCTCTGTAGCCTGATAGGGGTTGAAGATGCTTTTGCAAAGCTAGTGTAATTAATTAATTGTGGGAAACAAAGGGTCCTTTCTGATCTATACAATTATACTTGCATTGGGTAACCTGATCATTGAAAGACATTTCAGCTAAGTCAGAGGATGGAGTTCCGCTTCCTGTCCGACTCTGGCATCTTTGCTGAGGGTCACATTGAGCTGCGAGGTGCATTGGGGGTGCCTTGAGGATTCAGCACCATGGAGGAAGACATCAAGACCAACCTCAAGAACTACAAGACTGCTCCTTTTGACAGCCGCTTCCCCAACCAGAACCAGAGCAGGAGCTGCTGGCAGAACTACCTGGTCTTCCACCTCTGTAAGAAGGCAGGGACCGCTAAAGAAGGTGATGTCTCTGTGTGTGAATGCTACTGGCGTGTGTACAAGTCCCTCTGCCCCATGTCCTGGGTCACAGCCTGGGACGAGCACCAGGTTGCAGGCATGTTTCCTGGGAAGGTCTGAACTGGCTGCACCACCCTCTCCTGTGTCGTCTGTCCTTGTCCCAGGGTGGGAAAGGCGGACCTAGTACCCAGTGATCCCCACCCCGGGATCCTAAATCATGACTTAACTGCTTACAAAAACTTGTTGGAAAAGTGAAAAAAAAAAAAAACACACACACACACACACACAGATGACGAGGACCTCCAAAAGTCAGTCACTCGCCAGATGTCCAAAGTGCCAGGTTGCCCGATAAGAATGCATGTTATTTTGCCCAAGTGGTACCAAATGCCATGAGGCCCTGGAATATGGGTTGTAATTATTTTCTTCTTTAAAAGATTTTTTATTTGTATAAATGGATGGGGTACAAGTGTAACTTATTACAGGGATATATATTACATAGTGGTGAAGTCAGGGCTTTTAGTGTGTCCATCACCCGAATAATGTACACTGTATCTATTAAGTAATTTCTCATCACCCGCCTTCTTCTAAGTCTCCAGTCTCTATCATTTCACACTCTATGTCCATGTGTATACATTTTGGGTTTTTTTTTGAGACAGGGTCTTTCTCTGTTGCCCAGGCTGGAGCACAATTGTGCGATCACAGCTCACTGAGGCCTCAACCTCCCAGGCTCAATTGTGGGAAGTAAAAGTTCCTCTTCAAAGTTTCCTTTCCTGTTAAAGAATAAATCATAAGTGTGCTAATGACTCTTCGTTAAGCCCTATCCTATGTAAGATGGGCTGGTGCAGTGGATGGTCCCTAAGCTCCCGCCGTTGTGCCCTGACTCTGAGATTAGCATCGTCAGGGAACCCCTACAGCCTCATGCAACCTTTCTCTTGGGATCACAAAGGTTGTGTATCTCCCCATTTCACTTTAAAATTAGCAGATCTTGGAGATCATCAGTATAAAAATCATATTAGTGTTTTCCTAACCCTAAATATAATTCTCCTTACTCAGGAGAAGCGGGGAATGGGGAAGACTTGAGGACACCATTTGGTTCTGGGAATGAGGAGCGCATCCAGCCCCCAGCAACCAGCTCTCCAGGGCAGCTCTTGTCTCTTGAGCCAAAGCTGGAGGCAGGGACTGTTAGACCTCTTTCCCTGCTGGCCTCTCGCCTCTCACCTCCAGAGGGGCGTGGGGAGTAGGCGTGCCAGAGAAAATACAGGATGCTGGTTAAATTGGAGTTTCAGATTGACAACTTTTTTTTTTTTTTTTTGTATTAGATATCCTAAACATTGCCTGGCTCAGTAGAAGCATGCCTCAAATACTGCAGATGTATTTGCTAAGCCTGACAACCCTAGCTGGCAGGAGAATGGAAGAGACCAAATAAGGAAGTGGGATCCCAGCTGGGACTGCCCCGGAGCACTGGACTTTGGCCTTGGATCCCCCAGAGAACTTCCCCTTCCAGCGACAGGCAGCGAGGAGGAAGAGAATTGGCTTCTCCTAGGGCCTGTGACTGGAGGGAAAGTCAAGTTCAGATGAGTGGGGGACTCTAGGGGATTTCCCTGAGGATCAGCAGGAAAGGCAGCCACATCCACGCCCACTCAGAGCCAGCTGCTTCTATGCATCAAGGTCTGATGCCAATGGTGCATGAGAGGGGCCCCTAAAGGCAGTCCCTGGGCAGCCCCCCCCACCCCCGTGAAAGGCTGCTCCTGCAAATGAATGAATGGAGCAGGAGGCCATGGAGAAACTTCCAGGGCTGGTTGGCTGGGAAGCCTGAGCTTTTGCAACTGCAGGGGCCCTCAACCCTGTCACACCCAGTGACCTCATTTGCTTGTAAATATAATATGTTTAAAACTGTTTTTACTATTTTGAAATGACAGCCCAAAATTTATTTTTAAATTTATGCAATGCAACAGCTATGACGTAACAAATCGGTAGATTCCATTTCCCTCTGCTTGGAATCGCCAGGAACTTAACCACCACAGTATGGATTGAGATAGGTATGTTGTGCTCCTGACTTCTATACTTCCAGAGACAGTAACATTATTAATGTGACATTATGAAACTGTAAGCAATTCTTGGCCAAGTTACAAACAACACAAAAAAGTCTTCCCTTGATTGACAGTCAAACGTCCGAGAAAGTTTCATGTACTTATAACCATATTAATAGAAAGCTCTGATGACTGGGTGCCGTGGCTGAGACCTGTAATCCCAGCACTTTGGAAAGCTGAGGCAGAATTACTTGAGGCCAGGAGTTGAGACCAGCCTGGACAACATAGCAAACATCCATCTCTACAAAAAATAAAATAAAACAAAAAGGCCTACATTTGTCTGTAAAATTTGTGTTCAGGCTGAGGTCATTGCCCGCGGGTTTTTCACCTGTATGAACGTTCAAGCCGTGGCCGGGTGTGGTGGCTCACGCCTGTAATCCCAGCATTCTGAAAGGCTAACGCGGGAGGATCACGAGGTCAGAAGATGGAGAGCATCCTGGCCAACACAGTGAAACCCCATCTCTACTAAAAACACACACAAAATTAGCCAGGCATGGTAGCACATGCCTGTAATCCCAGCTACTCAGGAGGCTAAGGCAGGAGAATCGCTTGAACCCAGGAGTTGGAGGTTGCAGTGAGCTGAGATGGCACCACTGCACTTCAACCTGGGCAACAGAGCGAGACTCCATCTCAAAAAAATAAAATAAATGAATGTTTAGCTGTATATTTGGAAACTGTCTAGAGCACAGGCTGATTTTTCACTTTGCAGGGCTGACGTAAGTGAAGTGGAATGTCTGAGCATTAAACTTTAGTAGTGACCCCCCCAATTATTATTATATTGGGAGAGTTATTTTGATAACCCAACCATTCCCCCACAGGGAGGAGGGAAGAAAAGGGGCCAAGTATTTATTGATTGGCTATTGATAGTGGCCAACCACCATGTATAGCTATTTACATATGTTTTATTCAAGCCTTGCAACACCTCTAGTTAGTGCACATTCTGATCTTCATTTTACAATGGAGAAAGTGCGGCTCTGAGAGTTAGGTAGTGTTTACGTGTGCACAGTCTGTACATGGAGAAGCCTGAATTCGAATCCAGGTCTGTTTCAATCCACAGTCAGACGTTAACAACAATGTACTAATGGCGAAGGGGAAAAGGCAGTGGTTCCTGGTCAAATCTCCTCTAGAAACTTGATGAAAAGGAGGGGGCAGGTGGTTTTGTTGGTTTTGGCTTGTTTTGCATAGCATGGAGTAAGAATTAGACATTAGACCAGGTGATTTCTTGGGGTCTATCCTAATCCAAAGAATTTATGTTTTTGTGAACCTTGTTAACTTAAAAAATAATTTTTAATAGTAGACACTTTGGACTGTCAATCACCCCCTTTTTTTTCTGAGCTGTATATTTCTGATGTTTTCAGTGTGCAAATTGCCAGCAGGAAATCCATCCCTCTGATCTGGAAGTCTGTCATTTGGGTATTGGCTTCTGCATTTGTCAGATGCCCCTGGTGCCATCGGGTGCTAGGTTGTGTCAGTGGTGACTGATCTGAGATGTGAGGTCTGCCTTCTCTTTGTTTGGGTATCAGTCCCAAGAGCCATATGGCCTCAGCACTCTGCCACTAAGTTCTGCACTTGAGGTGTCTCTCTCTGGGCAAGTGGCCTTGGGTGGCCCAAGCTCTGTGTTAGTGGACTGCGGGCCAGCACTCAGGAAGAAGTCCTCTGCAGCTCAGCATCCCGGGACGAATCTAGCAGATCTGCTGCCTCATTTAAGGACTCAGGACACACAGACCCCTCCGCTACAGTCAGTACAGCTCAGCCGCACCTGCTGCATGCCCGTCACTCTTGCAGCACCAACACCGCCCAGAGGAGTCGCCCAGGGGAGAAGATGGAGGCACCAACAGGTTCTCCTATGAAAAAATGGATCCAGAGAATGTCCCTGATCTTATTTTAAATATTAGTTCCAACGGGCTAGAACTGCAGGGCAGAGGACACTCAAAATAAAGATTGTGTTAAAATCTACCGGAAAGTATGATTCAAATTGCAAAAGCTGAATTTTCATATTCTGCTATCAAGAGTGTATTTAGGGAATCATGGGAAAAAACTTTTGCAATCTATCCATCTAACAAAGATCTAATATCCAGAATCTACAAGGGACTTAAACAAAGTTAACAGAAAAAAACAACCCCCTTGAAAAGTGGATAAAAGACATGAATAGACACTGCTCAAAAGAAGACATACATGTGGCCAACAAACATGAAAAAAAGCTCATCATCACTGATCATCAGAGAAATGCAAATCAAAGCCACAATGAGATACCATCTCACACCAGTCAGAATGGCAATTATTAAAATGCCTAAAACCAACAGACGCTGGCAAGGTTGTGGAGAAAAAGGAACACTTTTACATTGTTGGTGGGAATGTAAATTAGTTCAACCATTGTGAAAGACAGCCTCATGATTCCTCAGAGAACTAGAGACAGAAATACCATTTGATTCAGCAATCCCACTACTGGGTATATACCCAAAGGAATATAAATCATTCTATTGTAAAGATACATGCACACGTATGCTCATTGCAGCACCATTCACAATAGCAAAGACATGGAATCAACCTAAATGCTCATCAATAACAGACTGGATAAAGAAAATGTGCTATATACCATGGAATGCTATGCAGCCATAAAAAGCAGTAAGATCATGTCCTTTTCAGGGACATGGGTGAAGCTGGAAGCCATTATTCTCAGCAAACTAACACAGGAACAGAAAACAAACACTGCATGTTCTCACTTATAAGTGGGAGCTGAATGATGAGGACACACGGACACAGGGAGGGGGAACAATACACACTGGGGCCTGTTGGGGGGGTAAGTGGGGGAGGGAGAGCATCAGGAAGAATAGCTAATGGCTGCTGGAGTTAATGCCTAGGTGATAGGCTGATCTGTGCAGCAAACCACCATGGCACACATTTACCTATGGAACAAACCTGCGCATTCTGCACATGTACCCCAAAGTTAAAAGTTGAAAAAAAAATCAAGGTATAGTTCACCCCTTCCCTGCCTCCACTGCAAAAATGAGTATATTCAGGGAATCTTTAGACTTAGAAGGATTTTCAAAAACTGCTGAGTACAATAACGTTTTATTGCATAAAGTGAATCTTAAATGTTGGCATTGTGACTGAACGATCAAAAACGTAATTTCTGTAAATGTGGTTTTAGAATTCTGGATTAAGTAGCTTTGAATGG